CCCCCCAGCCCAGGCTCCCGCCGGCCCGGAAATGCGGCTGCGGCGCTCGCTCGCACGCTGCTGGCCCGGAGGGGGCCAGGGTTTGAGGGTCTTGACCCAGCGTGGGGTCAGGAGGAGGGTGGTGTCTGCACCACAGGCGTCATCGGCTCGGTTCATCCACCGCCTGTGCCCGATCTTCTTCTAAGCGGCAGCGGTCCCGCAGAGCAGTTTCTCCTATTGTCTCCATTTTACCAGGGACTGAGGCCCAGTGAGGTCTAGCATCTCTCCTGTGATGGTCCAGCTCCCTTTCCTATGCCACCTGGAACAGATTCTTTACAAGTATCCCTTAGCTATTGGATTCTTAGGATCTAAAGTCTTGGAAGACGCCAGTTTGCATTGAAGCCTGTCACCCTCTCCAGGCAGCCGCTTTGATGTCCCTTCCCTCCAAGGTGTGCAGGCCTCAGACAGAAATGTCTACTTAAAACATAATGATCGCCATTCTTTAGACCGAAGGCTGGTGTAGAGCACTCTCAATACTTTGTGCAATGGGAATATTCGGTAATCAGGTTTCAGGCGAAATGGATGAGACCTGGGAGTGGAGATGAGATGGTTGGCAGCAGGTGGCCTATGAACTAGCGGCAAGGGGAGGGGGAGTAAGGTCCTTACTGAGTGTCTGGGGCTGTTAGTGGCCTGAAGAGAATGGGATCACAAGTTATAGCTCTCAAGAAGCTGGGGGGCCAGGGCACCTGGCTGGCCCTCTGAGACATTCCTGAGTGTGGAGGTCAGGCTGGCACAGGGTGTGGTGTTGCCTTGGGTAGTTGGAATGTAGTGGAACCAGTGGGCCGGGCTGGCTAAGGCCCTGGGCTCTTGCCCCAGGTCCTAAGGCTCTGGCCCCAAAGATTTCCCCTCTACGCCTCACTCCAAGCACAACAAGATGACTGACATAAAAATATTTATTTTTCAGGAAGAGAAACAGAAGAGAGCCTCAGACCCAGGGGCTGCTGCTGGTTTGCTGGTTATCTAGGTAGCACCTGAGGGCTGTGGGGAAATCTGTTATGATGCCAGTGGCCCCCAGGCCAGAAGCTGCTTCAAAATCTGACTCTTCATTAAGGCACCAAAATATCACCTAAACAGGAAAGGAGGGGCTTGTTAGTTTCCAATAGCCCCCCTCTTTTTTTGTTGTTGTTATTGTTGTTGATTGTGGGGCCTGAACTCTGGGCCTGGGCGCTGTTCCTCAGCTCTTCAGCTCAAGGCTAGCACTCTACCACTTGAACCACAGTACCACTTCCTGCTTTTCTGCTTATGTGGAGCTGAGGAATCAAACCCAGGGCTTCAGGCATGCAAGGCAAGCACTCTACCACTGAGCCACCTTCCCAGTCCAGTGTGTCTCTTCTTAATTTCACTATTTTCCTGTTTCCTGTTTACTTGAGGTTTCTGAGTTGGTTGAATCTGTGTAATGTATCCTGTGAAATGCACATCTCTTCCCTGTTCTGTATTTATGACAATACATTGGCCATCAGAAATTGGTCAAGGTGGGAATATTTTTGTGTGTGTGTGTGCCAGTACTGGGATTTGAACTCAGGGCCTGGGCACTGTCTCCCAGTCTCCCACTCAAGGCTAGCACTCTGTTTCCACTTGAACCACAGTTCCTCTTCCAGGTTTCAGGTGGTTAATTGGAGCTGGTCTCCCAGACTTTCCTGCTCTGCACTGGCTTTGCACATGGCTCCTCAGATTTCAGCCTCTGGAGTTGCTGGGATTACAGGCATGAGCTACTGGTCCCAGCCCAGGCTTCTTTTGAGGTTAGTGACCTGCCAGCTTCAGCCAAGCTGTCCCTGGCCACCTCCCCCAGGTTATGGCCTGGGGAACTTTAATTATCTGATGGCTCAGCCTCTTGTTCCTTCAGCCCTCCAACTTGCAAAGCCCCTGGCCTAACATGTCCTCTCTCCCTCACACTCTCTGCTTCCAGACCCCAAAGCCACAGCACTGTTTCCTTCCTGTGACAGGTGGTGTTAGCCAGCAAAGGCCTGCTTCTCTTCATTCCTTGGGCTACAGTGCCTAGATATTCTCTGTGAAGTTTGTTTTCAGATTTGACACTCAGGGCTGTGGGACAGGATGGGCTGAGCCAGCCTGCTTTTCCCCTTCTTGGCCCGGGACATTAGGTTCCATTTGTCAGCGTCCTCAAGTGGCTCCTTATCCATCACACCCTCAAGTACCAGGTCCACATGGCTACCAGGAAGGTTAAAGAACTCTCAGAAGAGGTGCCATGACCAAGGTATTCCACCAGGTGGCAGCAGAGTGACCAGAGTCCTGCTACCAGCCAGGTGCATGCTGGGAACCACCTTCTGGCTCTGGAGTGGTTTGGGTCAATTCTCACCTGTACCCCTCGCGCCTCCAGGTGGCGGATCAGACTTTTCCTCATGATGAGCCTGGGTGGAAAGGGGATGGCAAAGGTGAAGAAGGGCAGTGGCAGATCCTTGAGGACCCCCATCCGTCTTTGGAACCACCTCACCATTTTGTAACCACAGCATACAGCTTGTTTAGCCTGGAGCAAGAAAATGGGAAGTAGGTCCTGCAGAGAGAAGATGGGGGGAGGGGGGTGCGTGTCAGCCACTTGGGTGTCTGACCCCTGACCAGGGTAACCCCGCCCCCTCTAGAAGAACCTTTGCAATTAATTGCCTAAATTAATTGCTGTGCTCAGTGAGACCCTCCTGTGAGATTAGAGTCTTAGAGAAGCAATGTGTAGGTCACAAAGCACAGAGGTTGCGCTGAGGTTGGGACAGGACTTAATTCTAGAGTAGGACACTCCATTCAGAAGGCCACCTGGTTGGGATTGCCCAGCTTCGTGTGTGTGTGTGTGTGTGTGTGTGTGTGGCACGCATGCGTGCCAGCACTGGACTTTGGCTTTGTCACTCAAGACTGGTGCTCTCTTAGGGCTGGGAAGATGGCTCAGTGGTAGAGCGCTTGCCTTGCATGCCTGAGGCCCTGGGTTCAATTCCTCAGCACCACATAAAAAAAAAGAAAAAAGTCGGAAGTGGCGCTGTGGCTCAAGTGGTAGAGCGCTAGCCTTGAGCTGAAGAGCTGAGGGACAACGCCCAGGCCCAGAGTTCAGGCCCCATGACTGGACCCAAGAAAAAAAAAAAGACTGGTGCTCTCCTACTTGAGCCACACCTCCACTTCCAATTTTTGGCTAGTTAACTGGAGAGAAGAGTCCCACAAACTTTTCTGCCCCAATTAGCTTTACATCCCCAATCTTCAGGCCTCAGACTCTTGAGTAGCTAGAATTACAGGTGTGAGCCACTAGTCCCAGGACTGTTTTTGTTTTGTTTTCTGTCTTTTTGTCAGTCATGGGATTTGAACTCGGGGCCTGGATGCTGTCCCTGAACTCTTTTGCTCAAGGCTGGTAGTGGGCTACCAGTTTGAGCCACAGAACCACTTTCAGTTTTCTGGTGGCTCATTGGAGATAAAAGTATTAGGCACTTTCCTGCCTGGGCTGGCTTCAAACATAATCCTCAGATCTCAGCATCCTGAGTAGCTATGTTTTAGCTGCTTCTCTAGGGTGACTTCAGAGGGTGTCCTCTGCACAGGACGTACTTGCATTTTCTTGCCCTGGACTGAACCAGTGGCAGCTCTGGTTTCAAATGATGACGTAGATGAGAAGGCGGAGTGGAGTCCCTGCGGGATCTGAGGTCAGATCCAGCACAAACTTCAGTTCTGTACCTCCAACTGCGTCAAATTACAGAACCTCTCTTGCCTCTGTTTCTGCATGTGGAGATCATAAACTGGTGGGTGCACTGAGAAGATCCAATTCTTCTAAAGATGTGAAATCACTTTGCAATTTTTCAAAATTGAAACGTGTGTACCTAAAGCTTTGTTGACCGAGGGATAGTGGAGCTGGCTGAGAACTTCCCTTGGGACAAGGGGCAGGAGCTGAGAATATTGGGACCACCCAGAAGCTGTGAGGAAGCAAAGGGAGGGGCCGGGCTTGAGAGCCCAGAAACTATCCAAGCTTTTTGATACTCAGCTGTTACTTTGTTACACAGAGTCTGGAACTTGAGAAAGGTTTCCTGTCCCTTCAGAGAATAGGAGAGAAGGCTCCAGTGGGCCTCACTGAGTATCTGATCATCCACATGTCTTATTCACTAATGTAAGCACTAGAGAAGGCCAACCTACAAGAGTCTGGAAGGAGCTGGGCGCTGGTGGCTCACACCTGTAATCCCAGCTACTCAGGAGGCTGAGATTTGAGGATCACGGTTCAAAGCCAGCCTAGGCAGGAAACTCTGTGAGACTCTTATCTCCAGTAAAGCACTAGAAAACCGGAAGTGGCACTGTGGCTCAAGCGGTAGAGTGTTCACCTTGAGCTGAAGAGCACAGGACAGCGCCCAAGCCCAGAGTTCAAGCCCCATGACTGACCAAAAAAAAAAAAAAAAAGAGAGATCATATTTGAAAAGTAAACTAAAAGCAAAGGAGTATGGTGTGGTTCAAGTGGTAGAGGCCCTAAGTTCAAACCCAAGTAATGCCCCCAAACTCCAGCTAACCAATAACCAAACCAAAATAAAAACAAACATATTTGCAATAATGTCAGGATGTCATGGTCCCTCAGAGTTCATGAATGCTGAGTAAGAGCCACTGTCTTGTCAGATTAGTGGTACATGCTTGTTACCATAGTAACTGGAAGGCCAAGGCAAGAGAAATGAGAGTTGATGCTAGCTTGGACTACATGGTGACATCTTGTCTCAAAAACAAACAAAAACCCCATTGTCTTCAAAAGACACTGTGGTGTCAGATCACATCTATAACCCTAGCTACTCGGGAGGATGAGATCTGAGGATGGAAGTTCAAAGCCAGCTCAGGCAGAAAGGTCCATGAGATTCTTATTTCCAATTAACTAGCAAAAAGTAGGAAGTGGAGGTATGGTTCAAGTGGTTGAGCACTAGCCTTCAGCAAAAAAGTCAAGTATGAACCTGAGGCCCTGAGTTCAAATCCCATACCAGCACACACGCGCGCGCGCACACACACACACACACACACACACACACACACACACAAGACAATGTGAGGCTGGGCCAGGGCTCACATCTATAATCCTCCCTCAGGAGGCTGAGATCTGAGGATTGTAGTTTGAAGCCAGACAGGATAGAAAAGTCCCCATGAGACTCTTATCTCCAATTAACCACTCAAAAATTGAAGTGGCTCTGTGGCTCAAGGGGTAGGGTGCTAGCCTTGAACACCAAGAGGCTCAGAGAAAGCACCCAGGCTCTGAGTTCAAGTCCTACAACTGAATAAAAAGACAAAGTAGGCTTTCTAGGGGGCACCAGGGGGAACAGGGGAGCCTGTGATTCATCTTCCATAGCAGTCCCTGAGCAGGGTGTTCTGAGGCCTGGCCCCAGCACTGATACCTGTTGACGATGGTGGGCAGGAAGCAGAAGAAGAACTGCTCAGGAAAGGAGACAAAGGGCAGCAGTCCCAGGTGATAGAGCAACACCATCCAGAGTGCTCGGTTTGTCGTGAAGGATATGGGCATATCAGGGTTCTAAGAAGCAAGATAAGAGTTAGGGGCACTGCTGCCTGCTCCTGGGGGATCAAGGTGCAAGGAACAGTATGCACTGGACAGCGGGAGGCCTACACCCTTGCCAGTGTGCTGATGAATCTGTGTGTGAGTGTGTGTGTGTGTGTGTGTGTGTGAGAGAGAGAGAGAGAGAGAGAGAGAGAGAGAGAGACAGTACTGGAGCTTAAACTCAGGGCATGAAGCTTTCTCTTTGCTAAGTTTATTCATGGATGGCACTCTACCACTTGACCCATGCTTCCAGTTTCATTTTGCTGGTTCACTGGAAATAGAATCTCCCAGATTTTTCTACCTGGGCTGGCTTCAAACCGAGATCTTCAGATCTCAGCCACCAGAGTAGGATTGCAGGTGTAAATCACTGGCATTTGACACCTCCCCACTGTGTGTGTGAGTGTGTGTGGTGTGTGTGTGTGTGGTATGTGTGTGTGTGCGCTGGTGGTACTGATGTTTCTGGAAAAGATAACTTAAGGGATACACTAGTACTAGCATCCCATAGGAAAAAGGAGGAAATTCTTAGTGGTTCTCCCCCCCCCCCAACTCTCATATACTCTCTGGCCTATAAAGACGGGCCAACCAATCACAGAGCCTCTGAAACTAAGCCAAAATAAATGCTCCTCCTGTCATTTGTTTATCTCAGGTGTTCTATCTTCATAACAAATGGCCAGGGCCGGAAGCATGAATGGGTCCTTGTCATGGCCACCACCAAACCAGTGCACCTGCTCCCATTGCTCTAAACACCCCAAAGCCTGTCCTTAGGAACTGTGATCAAGGATCAAGAAGTAGCTCCTAGCTGGGTGCTGGTGATTCCCATCTGTAATCTCAGCGAGTCAGGAGGCTGAGATCTGAGGATTGGAATGGCCCTAGAGCAGGGAGGGAAAGAGACTCACAGCGGCCTTGCATTTCTTCATAATCGAGCTCTTCTCTGAGGCCCATATGGTGATCTGGCTGCGGTGAAAGCGCTTTGCCAGGCTGGCTACCTAGGAGGACAGGGAGGCTGGGGGGTGGGAGTGGGGAGGCAGGGGAACAGCCAGGTCTCTCAGGGACCTGGTGGCTACCCTGCCCAGCCCACAGCACAACACCTTGTGAATGAGCTCCTCATTCTTTTCTTTGATCTCCACGATGGCGGGCAACTGTGGAAACCTCTGGAACACATCCTCCAGGCGGATCATATGCCTGTCAGACCCACAGGCAAAGCGGCCTGGGAGGGGAGGGATTCAGACTCAGAGAAGGATCAGAATCAGGGCTGGGGAGAGCCAAGGGAGATCCAGGACAATGGTCTGAAAATGCCTGCTCTCACCTGGTGAGAAGTAAATCTCTAGCTTCTTCTTGTAAAGCGGCAGATCCTGGAGGAGACAATGAGGAGAGTGTCACACGATTCACGCTGATGGAGATGGTGACTGTTTGCTTTTTCTTGGGGCCTGAACTCTGGGCCTGGGCGCTGTCCCTCAGCTCTTCAGCTCAAGGCTAGTGCTCTACCACTTGAGCCACAGCACCACTTCCGGCTTCTTCTGCTTATGTGACGCTGAGGAATCGAACCCAGGGCCTCCTGCTCTCTACCACTGAGCCACCTTCCCAGCTCACAATGGTGACTCTGTGTATGGAGTTATGGCCAGACCCACCTGAAAATCCAGGCTGCTTATATCCTTGTTCAGGCCCGACTGGCGCTTCAGGTTCTTGTCGTGTGATACCACCACGACGCCATCCCTTGTCAGGTGGCAGTCAAGTTCCAAGAGGTCTGCTTTCTGAGCCACGGAGCTATGAGGAGCAAAGGTTGGTGCCACAGAGCTAAGAGGAGCCAAGGTGGGTGGGGAGGGGGAGGAGGAGAGGGCCGGCTTGTGTGCTGGTGGGGAAGGGAATGGAAGGAGGCAGAGATTACAGGGGGGCAGGGGGGGGAGCGGTGTGCAAGCCATCTGCACATTTCTTGGGGATTCCGGGCACCCAGGTGAGGATGCCAGCTCTGGGTGTTGTGACAGGAGCAACCTTACACAGCAATGGCGCCCTGGACAGGTGCACTCACTTCTCTATGGCCGCCATGGTGCTCTCCAGCATCTCTCCAGACCCTGTATAGGGGCAGCCAGGGTGGGTCCCTGGGGCCTGGTGGGGCTTAATCACTACCTTCCTTCCCCCTGGCAGGCCTCCCTGCCTCAGGCCTCCTGGTCCTAGCAGCTGGATTGATCCAACCTCTCTTTCTCCCTGCCCTGCCCCTGGCCTTTCCCACTTGCTCCTTGTGCTGCTTTTCAGCATCCACCCCCCTTCCCCCTCCCCCATGCTGCCCACAGTAGCCCTTAGGCCTCACTCCACCCTAAAAGAGAGTCAACCCCTCCCTCCCTCTCCCCTTCCCAGCTCACCTCCTCGGTGCGCTGTCAGGCGGCCCCGGAAGGCTGGTGAATGGGGTGTATGCAGGAGGCGAGGGCGGCGTAGGAAGAAGATGGAGATCGTGATGTAGGCGGCCAGCGAAGGCAGGGCAAAGTACAAAAAACACAGGGGGCTCATGGCTGCACTCCGGGTCAGGTCCGGGATCCTTCTGCTGTCAGCCATCCGAGGGCACTGGGCTGCTTGGGGCTGGCTGCCTAGCTGGTATAGGCTGGGCCTTGCCACTGGCCAGCGCCACGCCCCTCGGACCTGCTGAGCCTGCTGCCTGCCGGCTGCTGGCAAGAAGCCAGGCTGCAGGCCGCCCTCCCTCGGGCTGGATAGAGGCAGGAGGTCTGGGCGACCCATTCTCAGACTCTTCCCAAAGCCCAGAACACACCTCGGTCTTCAGCCACTACTTGGGGGGAATATAGTCCCCCTCCCCCAGGCGCTGATGGCCTAGATAAGGTATACAAGAGCCCCTCCCTTGTTACTTCCATAAACATGGGGATGTAGAGTGCGTCCCTGAGTCACCCCAAGTCACCCCCAGCCAATTAGACAGGAAGCCATCCCACTGTTCCCTAACAGTGACTAAGGGGGAAACTGATCCCATTCTTTCAAAAGTCTGGATCTCCTTACACCCCTCCACCCGCCAGCCCTGGCTAGGTGGAGCCAAAGGTGCCCAGGGTCCCATACAGAATTGGTTCTCAGCCAGGCACCAGTGGCTCGCGCCTGTCATCCTAGCTACTCAGGAGGCTGAGATCTGAGGATCCTGGTTCCAAGCCAGCCAGGACAGAAAAGTCACGGTGAGACTCTTTTTTTGTGTGTGTGTGTTATTCATGGGCCTGAACTCTGGGCCTGGGCGCTGTCCCTCAGCTCTTCAGCTCAAGGCTAGCGCTCTACCACTTGAGCCACAGCGCCACTCCCGGCTTTTTCTGCTTATGTGGTGCTGAGGAATTGAACCCAGGGCCTCAGGCATGCAAGGCAAGCACTCTACCACTGAGCCACCTTCCCAGCCCAACCATGAGACTCTTATCTCCAAGGAACCACTCAAAATCCAGAAGTGGCACTGTGGCTCAAGTGGTAGAGCACTAACCTTGAGCACAAAGAGGCGCAGGGACAGTGCCCAGGCCCTGAGTTCAAGCCCCACAATGGCGAGAGCCAGGCATCGGCGTACACAGACGGAGGCAGGCCAGTCCATATACACATCTCTGTATTTATATATTAGATACAGGCTCGCGGAGCGGGGGGAGGGCGCCGGCTCTGCGGGGCCCATGTCCGCTCCTCGCCCACACACAGAAGCAGCGAGGCGTTAAATGTGGCAGCTTTTGGGGAGGGGGGGAGAGGGGGAGGGAGGGAAAGGCCCGGGGCCCAGCTCCTCAGGGATACTAGCCCTTGAGACTTGGGAAGGGTCCCACAGGGAAAAGGGGGTGGGGTTCTAATGGGGTGAGTGGGGAGGCCTTGTCCTGAGTCCCTACTCAGCACCCCAGCCCCTGGGTACTGGGGTAGCCACAGCCCTTGCACTGCAGAGTGGGCTAGCCTTGGGCTAGCCTGGGTAAGTTTTTACTCTGGAGCCTCTGAGCCTCTCAGGCCCTCGGGAAGAAGAGGAAGGAGTGGGGTGAAAGGGAACCTTGGCCTGCCTCAAGCAGGAGACCCCAGCAAAGGATGAGAAGGTGGCCAGGCCCAGCTTTGGCCTGGCCGAGCTACTGGGGTCTGGGCTGAGCACAGTGTCCATTTTCTAACAGTCCGGCAGGGGAGAGTGGGCAGGTGGTAGGGCCTATGGAAGAAGAGGGCAGGAGAGAGCTGTTAGTTTGTGAAGGGAGCCCAGGGCCGCCCTCCCTCCTCAGAGGGGTGTCTCTGTGGTGGATGCTCTGAGTGACCAGGGCTGGTGGCGCTGAAGGACAGTGGCAAGGTGTGTACAGTATCAGGCAGCCTGTACTAAGTGGTGGCGCTGAAGGACTCATCCGGGAGGAGTCCACCTCCTTCCCATCAGGCCCCAGCTGGCCAAAGGACAGAAGGAGGCAGGTGGGCTGGGGAGATTGCTTGTGGGTGTGTCAGCTGCTGACCTGGGCAGCAGGTGGGAGGAAGCTGGGCATCTGAGTCAGCCGGCCCAAACAATCATAGCCCCATCTGCCTCTCTGCCCACACTGGACAGCCAAGTCTGGGCCTGGCTCCTCAGGGGGAGAAAGAGGCCTCAGTGACTTGCAGGGTGGGGGGTGGGAGGGGGTGCTGGAGTGGCTACTGGGCTGCAGGGTAGGTTGATGAGAGCCAGCTAGATGGGGCTGGGGAGAGACAGGAAGGTCTAGCTGGCCACCAGCCCAGGCCCCAGGCAGGCTCTGCCCTTGTGCTGACACCGTCCCCATGGAGCGTGAGGTGCGCTGTGACTGTGCTCAGGCATTCCGGGGGGCAGCTGTGCGCAGCTGGGAGGCCCACTCACCAGACCCTGAGGAACAGGGATTTCTGACTGGGTTAAGGGGCGTCTGGGCCCCCTGGCTGGAAGCGGGCTGTCTCCTGGAAGATGAGCTCCTTCAGCCGCTCCTTGGGTAGGTCATCCAGCTCCATGTCGAAAGTGAAGGGCTCCTCAGCCACTGGCTGGGGGAGCAAAGACAGTAAGGCCCAGGCCCGGCATGGGGGACACCTATTCCTGTCTGGCCGCAGTGCTGAAGTGGCTGGCCCACCTCATCCGTGGGATCGTAGTACTGCTCCAGGTAGGGGTGGGCCAGGGCTTCCTCCACGGTGATCCGCTTGTTGGGATTGAAGGTTAACATCCGATCCAGCAGGTCAAGAGCTAAGGAAGGGCAGGAGGCAGGGGTTCCGCGGGAAGGCTCGCGAATCTTCTAGAAGAACCCCTTAGTGCAGCATCTAGGGACCTGTCTACTCAGGCAGCAGCTGGGGTCACAATATCCTTTGCCACCCTGCACCCCCACCCCTCACCTTTGGAGTCTGACTTGGGAAAGAGCTTGGCCCAGGCCACCTTGGTCTTGGATGGCAGAGACTGTAGGTAGTTTCGAGCCTTCATGTTGATGATACAGTTCAGGTCTTCCTGGGATGGGGAGCCCAGGATACCTGCGGATGGGATTGTGTCTGAGTGAGAAGTCTCAGCAAGGGAGGAATTACAAAGAGTCCCCAGTCCAGCCCCTGCCCCAACACCTTGGTCACCTCCCAGTCAACAGTGTGGTAAAGAGCAAGGAGCTGAGATTCTGGAAGCCCCTGGATTCAAACTGTGCCTCTTAGCACTTTGGTGAGTTATGAGGCCCAGCCTTCCTTGCTTTTTCCAGTTTACCCAATGGGGACAGCATGCGCACTTTGCTGCAGTATCATGGGATACTGGGAGGGTTCCACACATGGCGCCATCCATGATCCCAGCCCTCTGGAGAGCTCACCTCCACTAAGCTGATCACAAACACCCTCCCGCTGAGCCCTCCAGACCCCCCTCACCCAGAATGTGGTTGAGCTGGTCCAGGTAGTGCTTGCCAGGGAAGATGGGCCGATTGGAGAGCATTTCAGCCAGAATGCAGCCCACAGACCAGATGTCGATGGACTTGGTATAGCCCTGGGGAGGAGGGACAGGGTGGGCTCCTGGACCCACCTCCCCGTGGTCCTCCCAGCCTCCCAGCCAAGCACCACTCCCAACCTGGATCCACGACCTGGCAAAGGGCAGAGGCAGAAAGAACCTCTGCTCAGCTTCCTGTCACGGCCCAAGAGCCAGAGGGATTTGCCAAGGCCCAGAAAGCAGACATCCTGAGTCACAGGGGCAGGACCTGGGCCCGAGATGGTTCGAAGGCTTCCTCTTCGAGGGGGAGAGCTCTCCTACCTTGGAGTTAAGCATGATCTCGGGGGCCCGGTACCAGCGTGTGGCCACATATTCCGTCAGAAAGCCCGTGTGGTCATGTTCAGGATCTGCAATGCGGGCCAGGCCGAAATCGCATATCTGGAATCAAACCCAGGTTGCTCAAGTCAGTGTGCACAGGGCTTCAGGCTGCCCTGCTTTTTACCTATTTGTTTATATTTTTGGTCGGTTGTGGGGCTTGAACTCTGGGCCTGGGTGCTCTCCCTCAGCTCCAGCTCAAGGCTAGCACTCTACCACTTGAGCCACAGCGCCACTTCCATTTTTTTTCTACTTATGTGGTGCTGAGGACTGGAACCCAGGGCCTCATGCATGCCAGGCAAGCACTCTACCACTGAGCCACCTTCCCAGCCTGCCCTGCTTTTTGCCTATGCCGTTCACCTTGCTTGCTATCTGCCAGAGCTTCTTCATTGGTCAGCTGGACACCCAAGGCCCCATGGGAGGCCAGTGCCGAGCCCGCTAACCTTAAGGTCGCAGTTGGTGTTGATGAGCAGGTTGGAGGGCTTCAGGTCCCGGTGGAGCACATTGGCCGAGTGGATATACTTGAGGCCGCGCAAGATCTGGTAGAGGAAGTAGCAGATGTGGTCATTGCTCAGCTGCTGGCTTTTGAGCAATTTGTATAGATCTGTCTCCATCAGGTCCTGAACAATGTAGCTGAGGAGGGCTCCGGAGACCCCCGGCAGGGGGGGCGTAGCAGGAGGCACTTGGTTAAGGAAAGCAGGCCAGAGCAACTAGGCTGCCCATCCCTTGTAACTGGGGCCCCTTGGACTCATGAACTGAGCAAAGCTCAAGGGGTCTCTGTCATATCTCAGCCTTGCAAGGCACGTCCACAGTTTCCCTACAGAGTAACTAAGACACCTTGGTGGGGAGGAGAACCTTGTGGTTAACAGATCTGGAGTTGCCCACGATGTCTGCAGCCCCTGCTCCACTGCTAAATAGCTTTGTGGAGTTGCCCACAATGTCTGCAGCCCCCGCTCCACTGCTAAATAGCTTTGTTGTTGATGGTATTCAAGTCTGAATTCAAGGCCTGTCCTTGACAGGCTGGTGCTCTATCACTTGAGCCATACCTCCAGACTCCAGATCTTTTTTTTTTGCTGGCTCTGGGGCTTGAATTTAGGGCCTGGGCACTGTCCCTGAGCTTTTTTTTTTGTCGGTCGTGGGGCTTGAACTCTGGGCCTGGGCGCTGTCCCTCAGCTCTTCAGCTTAAGGCGAGCACTCTACCACTTGAGCTACAGCGCCACTTCCGGTTTTCTGGTGGTTTATTGGAGATAGGAGTCTCACGGTCTCTCCTGCCCGGGCTGGCTTTGAACCGCGATCCTCAGATCTCAGCCTCCTGAGTAGCTAGGATTACAGGCGTGAGCCACCAGGGCCGGGTTTTCCTTGGGTTTTTTTTTTTTTTTTTGCTTAAGGCTAGCACTCTACCACTTGAACGACAGCACTACTTGTTTTTCTTGTTTATGTGGAACTGAGGAATGGAACCCAGGGCTTCATGCATGCTGGGCAAGCACTCTACCACTAGGCCACATTCCCAAGGCCCCACCTTTTTTTTTTGTCAGTTGTGGGGCTTGAGCTCAGGGCCTGGACATCCCTGAGCTTTTTCATTCAAGACTGGTGCTCTACCACTTTAAGCACAGCTCCACTTCTGGTTTACTGGTGGTTAATTGGAGATAAGAGACTCATGGGCTTTCCTGCCTGGGCTGGCTTTGAATCATGATCCTCAGATCTCAGCCTCCTGAGTAGCTAGAATTACGGATGTGAGCCACCAGCACCTGGCTTTCCTTATGTTTTGAATCGGCTTTGCTTTGTCCCTGGGCCACTCAGGACCTCCTATTTACACTTCACATATAGCTGGAATGACAGATGTGAACCACTGCGTCCAGCTGTTGGTTGGGATGGTGGTCTTGTGTGAACTTTTTTGCCCAGGCCAGCCTTGAAACACATTGCTCTGGATCTCTGCCTCTCTCCAATAGCTAGGATTACAGACCTGTGCTACAGGGCCAGGATCAGCTTTATGTTCTTAACCTGTCTGTCTATGGCTTGGTCCTTTGTCATCTGGCAAGTAGGAGAAATAACTGCTCTGCGTGGCTGTGCAGCTCAGACGTGATGGGCCATTGCGCACTGTCAGCCTGGCATTTGGCATGTTGTAAACGCTCAGCAAATACAAACTATTACTGCTACTACATAGGCCTGAGCCGCGTGGCTGTTGAGGGGGTTACATGAGCTAATGTATGAATACCATCTGGCATGCAATAAATGTTTGCTTCAAAATAAATGTCTGCCTTATGGGAATGATTTATGCCACAGAAACGAGGAGATACTCCCAACACACTGTTCCCACTCAGTAGAGTACCTTGGCCAGAGAGCAGAAGATGGGGGAAGTGAATGCTTGCACATAGATGCAGATAAAACACAAACCCGACATAAATAAAATGTAAAAGATGTCATGTGGCTTATCTCTGGGAGACTAAGTCAAGATTATCTTTCAACAAGAACAAGTGGACCAACCCTGTGGTTTTAAGGCAAGGAGGCCGGTAGGGGGCGGGAGGGGGCGGGGATATGGGTGTCACACAGCAAGCTGGGGTTGAAAATGGGGGATTTCCTGTCCAGTCTGTGGTGGAGGTTGGAAGACTACAGAATCAATCCCTGGTTTGGGATGGAGGTCTGGGACTGGCAGGGGTGGGTGGAGAAGAGGTGATGGGTATTATAAACTGCTCACTTTGGAGCCAGACAGGAAGTAGATAAGCCATAAAGGGGCAAGGTGCAAATCCACAGGTAACCAGGGTGGGGCTCTGAGCAGGAAATGTCAGACAAGGAAGAACAAATTCCTATAGGGGAGTTAAAGAAGTAAGAGCAGAAATACTTAGGTGTTGGGAGGCCTCGGTTTCCTCCTCTTTGAAATGGATCGGGTAAGGCCCAAGTTCACGGGGCAGGTGGAAGGTAGATTCAGAGCCATCAACTACTTGGCATGCATGGCATCTAACACAGAGTAGACCAGCAAGAAAAGGCAGTTTTCTTTGCTGCTTTCCTTCCAGTCTGAGACTCAAGAGGAAAGAATCATCAGTCTGTTAAGTAAGAACTGTGGGCAGAAGCTGGGTCATAGCACAGAATTGCAGATGTCAGAAGACAAAGCTCCCATAGAGATCCAGTCTCTCCCCATCTCCTCCCCTCTCCCCCCCACCCCCCCACCCCCTAATGGAACACAGGGCAGAGGAGGACTGGTCCAAGGCCACTCTGCCTGCCTGGCTGCGACATGCCACAATCCATTTGAGGCCTCCACCCCAGCGCCTCTCCCCACTGGAAAGCTCTTTTGCTACATTTGCTTGGGAGGGGGAGAGGGAAGGAAGATGGAAACAGGAAAAAACAACAACAAAAAAAAATCCCCAGCTAGCTCTGAGACTGTGCCTGACCAGCCAGCTGGTCAAGGTGAAGGATACACATCCCTCATGGCTTCCAGTGTGGGTGCCCGAAGAATGTCTCGGATGCCTATGACATTCTCATGGCGGAAGCGCAGCAGGATCTGGATCTCCCGGAGCGTGCGCTGGCAGTAGGTCTGATGCTCAAAGGGGCTGATCTTCTTGATGGCCACCCGAGTCTTACGCACGTGGTCATAAGCGGAGCTGAGAGAGAGCCAGAGAGATACGTGTTGTTGGTAGTAGCCTTACAAAGGGGGAATCCAGGCCTGGTGACCCCACCCAGGCCTTGGAAGGGAGGGGAGGGAGCAGGAGAGGGCTCTAGCCAAGGCATAAACAATGCTGGTTCCTTCCTGCTATAAAGGCCTGGGATCTCGAGGGAAAAAGCTGGGGACCAGCCAGGCGGCCTTTCGGTGACTTCACAAACAGAGGAAAGGACTGATCACTCACTGACTTCCACTCATCGACCTCCTTCCATTCCAGTTGCCCTGACCCCTCCTCTTCCCCTTCTTACAAAAGGGCTCACTCAATCCCAGACAGGTCCAGGGGAAGGAGATGTGATGAGGCAAAAGACAGCAAGGTAACAGTCTTTAGAGGGATCAGAGAGGAGGGACACGGAAGAGTGGGTCTGGGGGAGGGGGGGGAGCTACCTGGGTAGCAAATAGGAATAAAGGACCAGAACACACACACACACACACACACACACGGTCCAGGAGGAATCTGAAGACCCCTCCCAAGAGATGCTGGGACGGTCTTCCTGCCCACCTCCTTCTACGGGAGAGGGAGGGAGGGGCGCTGGCAGGACACTGGGGAGGGGCTCAAAGGCTGGCCCCACCCAGAGCTCCGATCTTCTCTTCCCAAGTCCCCAGCACTGCCTCATGGGGGGGAAACCGAGTCATCCTCTACCCCCCACCCCTACACCCCTTTCACTAAGAAGACTTATGCTCCCAGCTCCCCTGCCTCAGTGGTCCCCTCTCCCCCGAGGACACTCAGATGCCCCTCCCTCCAGGACGGAGAAGTCAGGGGGCCCCTGCGGGGACCCCACCCCGCCCGGGGGGGGGGATGGAGACAGCCACCTCCCCCCCCAAAAAAAACAATCAAACAAACACTGCACGGCCCCCTCCCTCCTTGGGACACTCCCCACGCTTCCAGAGTCCCCGGCGTGCACGGGACGCCCCGAGTCTCCACGCCCCCCCCCGAATGGCAGCGGGCCGGGCCTCGGCCTGCCCGGGGGCGCCCCCTGCCCCCGGAACGCCCCCTCACCTGACCATGCCGTACGCCCCCTCGCCGATGTACTGCAGCTGCGTGTAGCGCGGGCCCACGTCGAACGGCTGCCCCTTCACGACCTCCACTTCCCCCGGGACCCCCGGGCCGACCCCATCGGCTCCCCGGG